GTCCGTTACCCTTAACCACCACACCACCTGCAGGCCCCTAGACTTGTATTTTTAGAGATTAAACACATCAGGGTTGAAGAGAGGTTGAAAATAGTGAAAATGGGTATGTCTTCCACATGTGTATTTTGGAAAACAGACTTGTATTATTTTTACATTGTATACCATTTGTAGATGTCTACTAAGATGATTATCTTTTAATTCTTTATTGTTATTATTATTATTATTATTTTGAGAGAGAGATTTTTGCTATAGAGTGTGTATGCTCACTGGAGAGACAGAGACAGAAAGCAAGAAGTCAGCCCCCGGGGAGAAGGCTATGCCACAACCCCTTCTCCCTTCTCCTCTCAGGACTTTGGGCATGCACACACATGTGCCCAGTGTGATTTTAAGTCACCAGGTTCAGGACTCAAACCACAGTCAACTATGTGGGAGTCCACCAATGTAACCATTATGCCATCTGCTCGTCCCAGTTCTTTCATGGTATAGCAGATGCACACATTAGAGAGAGAAGGAAAAGTCCTTCATGAGGCTCAACATACAAAGATCCCCTTCTTCCAGCCCTCCAAGCCTCTGGGAAGTGTGCATGTGCCTGACCCATGTTTTCAGGCACATCTAGCTAGAGACTCAGATCACGATCAGCATGTGGCTTCCAGCTCCACCATCCAGTACAATACCAGTTGTGCCACAGGGGCTGGGCCCCACATTTTATATCTTTATTTTTTATTTTTTTAATTGCCAGAGAGTATGTATGCTTGCCAAAGAGAGACAGAGAGAGAGACAGAGAGAAATCACACACACACACACACACACACACACACACAAGTGGGGCATGGTCACACCACAATCTTCTCTCCTCCATTTCTCTACTATTCTCAGAATTTTAGTTACACACGTCCATGAACCCTGTGTGTTTTCCAAGCTGCTGGGGCTGAGACTTGAACTGTGGTTTGCTATGTGGAATCCAGCTCCCTTGAGCATGAGGCTATGGGGCTGGACTCCACATTTTATGTCTTTTTGCATTAAAAGGTAATGTATCTTACATTTTATTCATACAACAAATGTTAATGGACTGCCTATTCTATGCAAGTCTACACTCAAGTGGGGCATGGTCACACCACAATCTTCTCTCCTCCATTTCTCTACTATTCTCAGAATTTTAGTTACACACGTCCATGAACCCTGTGTGTTTTCCAAGCTGCTGGGGCTGAGACTTGAACTGTGGTTTGCTATGTGGAATCCAGCTCCCTTGAGCATGAGGCTATGGGGCTGGACTCCACATTTTATGTCTTTTTGCATTAAAAGGTAATGTATCTTACATTTTATTCATACAACAAATGTTAATGGACTGCCTATTCTATGCAAGTCCCAGAGGACTCAGCATAAGGCAGAAAAACAGCCTTGTTCCTACACTCCTCTATCCTGAAGAAAAACTTCAGCAATCAATCCCCTAAGATCTCCAATACTCTTGATAAATACTGTGGAAACAAAATATAGAGTCAGATTTGGGCATAATATAGGATCTGCCCCTTGGGAGTAGGATAGGTAGGTTAGGAAAGACTTCTCTTAGAAAAATACCTTAAACGGAGAACTTCAGGGTAAGCAGAAGTTGGTTGGGTAGAAGTAGTGGAGTAGAGAAGAATAGTCCAGACGAAAGAGAAATGACTGGGTACAGGTTCTCAGGATGGAAAGAGCTTCCAAGGAACTGAATGACGGTAACAGGGAGGTGAGGGAGAGAGACATGGGCACTGGGAGAGGTTACAGATGCAGACAAGGGACAGATTGTGCAAGTCCTGGAGATTTAAATCCTGTGGACCAGATTTCCAATTACATGTTCCTATCTCACAAAATTCCAAATCTGGATGAACTAATCCTACTTTCTTCTGCACCCAAGCAACAAAGCGCCGTTGGCGCAAGCACACAACAGGATGAGTGGCATCACTTTAAACTCACACTCAGTGACCCCCAATAGATCTTCAGCTCCCTGCAGGAGCAGATATTGGGCTGCTGGAATCTGAAGCTTACACGGTTTGGGAAGTTCTATTTTTTTCTTCCTCTTCTTTTTTAACCAGGGGAGAGCGTGAACACAGTCCTCTACTACCACAAATTATGCAGCCGAGTTTCCCTCATTTGGGGAAATCGCAGAGGTCAGCACACCCGCAGTGCCATGAGTGAGCCTCACTCTGGGGAAACCACCTACACACGCGATCATGGTGTTTCCCTGCCAGGTAAGTATGGGAAGTCCTTTTAAAGGAAAAGAATATACAATTACAAATACAAAATTAGGATCAGTATGTATTTCGAATGAGGAAATAAATCACCATCCAATTACTGAAGCTTTGGAGATCCAGATGCCTTTCCTCTAAGAGGTACAGGAGATTTGCCGGAAACCTCACACGCATTTGCTTCCTGAGTACAGCCTGACAACCTCTCCCCACTAAGACACTCCTCTCCCAGCAACTACCTGCTCACTGGGGTCTGTGCGATAAGAGGCTCCAAACTAAAGATGTCTGCGCTGACCCGTGTCTTAGTCTGTTTGATGTTAAGAGACAGGACCTTTGGAAGGTGTTTGGGGAAAGTAGAGCTATTATCAATGGGATTAGTGCCATTAAAGGACCATTAGGTGGCATGGTGATTAAGGCACTGGACTCCCATATAGCCATCTGCAGTTTGAGTCCCAGACCTTGCTTTTCACTTTCTCTCTCTCTCTGTCTTTTTCTCCATAGTGAGTGCATGTGTCCTATAGGAAATTAAATAATAATAATAATAAATAAAGCAATACAAAAAAGAAGCCCAAGAGCGCTTGTTTGTTCCTCTGCTATGTGCGCATGAAAGCACCATCCATGTGGAACACAGACACTTGTTAGGCAGTGAATCTATTAGTCTTTTATCTTGGACTTCCCAGCCTTCAGAAATGTGAGGAATAAATGTCTGTTGTTTATAAATTATCCAGTCTGAGATACTTTGTTATAGCAGCACAGACTCTCTCAAAAGAAAGGAGGGAAGAAGGAAGGAAGGAAAGAAGGAAGGAAGAAAGGAAGGAAGGAAAGAAAGAATAAAAGGAAGAAAGGAGAGAAGAAAAAATAATACAAAAGAGAAGAGAGATGGGGAGAAAAGGAAAGGAAAAGAGAAAAGAGGGGAGAGGAGAGAAGAAAGGAAAAGAAAAGGAAAAAGAAAAGCAAAGCTGGAGTCTGAGTGGTTGAGGTTTAGTGCTGGCCCCACAGTGATGATGTTAAGCACTGTGCATAGAAAGCTAACTCCCACATGATGTCCTGCAGGTTGAGTCCCAGCCTTGGCAGCTTGAGAAACTCACTGGGCAAGTGTACACACAAGCTGAAAAGCCTGATGGGATGGAGAAATGAAAGAGAAAGAATTGTGGCTTGATTGTGCCCCATTGAAGAGGAGGCTTTGCCTTTCACACACACACTCACCTCTGGCGATTTTTTAAAATTAAATTAAATTTAAAGGGGGGGGATACAGCAGATGGCATGGTGGTTAAGGTGCTGGATACTTCCACATGGGTGACCACGGTTTAAGTCCTGAACCTGGTGGGTTTGCTTTCTCTCTTTCTCTCTCTCCCTCTCTCTCTCTCTCTCTCTCTCTCCCTCTCTGTCAATTTTTTTTTAAAAAAAAGAATGAATAAATAAAATTAAGTAAATAATTTTTCAAAATAATTTTTTTAAAAGGATAGAGGTTTATATAGCTAATGGATGGTATGTGAAGTCCTAAATCATGAATGGTCTTGGTAGGATCCTAAGGCATGCAGGGCCTCACATGCAAGAACTCCTGCAGAGTATGTATCTATGTCCATGTTTGCATCTCCTTATAAACACATGAGTGTCTAACCGTGGCCACCCTCTCCTCTCTGGTTCTAATCTCTCCCCAAGGATCTCACCTTTCCACACCATAGTCAACTTAAGTTTTCACCCTCCAATTCTCATCACAACCAAATTCCAACACAAGAGTTTTGGAAGGACTCATTTAAACAACATGCAGCAGTGAGACACTTGAGATTTACTCCTTTAGTTATTTTGCAATATGCAATACATCGGGCTGACTCCATGGCCTGGTGGTTAAGACAGCCAGTTTCCACGTGGCCACCTGTACAGTTTGAATCCCGGACCTGATGGTTTGAAAAAACACACTGGGTACATGTCCATGCATGCACGAAATCCTGAAAGGAAGAAGACATGAAGGAATGGGATGGTAATGTGAATTCCTCTCTCCTTGCTCTGTCTCTCTCTAGTGAGTGCATATACCCTCTAGCACATGAAAAAAGAAATAAATATATAATACATTATTATGGACTACAGTCACACTGCTGTGTAATAAATCTCGAAACCTATTCTACCTGTGTATCAGAAACTTGGTGCCCTCTGACCTACAACTCTCTGTCTTGCTATAAGCAGTCAAGAGAAACCATACAGCCCTGTCCACACTCTGCCTAGAGATTTCTTCCAGCCAGGTTTTTGCTACTGGATAACAAGAATTGCTTTTCAGTTTCCAATACCATTTTCCTCATTTCCATCTGAGCCTTCATTGGAATATCCTTTACTGTTCATATTTCTTACACGCTCTCTTTAAAAAAAAACAACAACAAATTCCCCTTTTTGCTATACGGTGCATGCATTTGCTAGAAAGAGAAAGTGAGAAATCACCTTACGGGGGGGGGGGGGGGGGATGGTAACACCACAAACCCTCTCCTCTGTTCTCCTGGGATTTTGAGCTCATGTGCACATGTGCCCAGCATGATTTTCAAGTCACTGGGTCCAGGACTCGAACCACAGTTGACCATGTGGGAGTCTGGAGCCTTAACCACCACACCATAAGCTGGCCCTTCTTCACAGCCTCTTAAGTTGCCTCCACGATATGGTGGCTGTCTCTCTAGTACTCCTTTTCTGAGCCCTTATCTGCATCACCTTTAATTCTCTATTCTTTTAATGAGGTATGCACCTCCAAATTATTTCGGTCTCAGCCCATTACTCAATTCTAAAGCCACTTCCACATTTTTAGGTAGTGGTAGCTCACTTCTTGGAACCAATTTCTGTGTTAGCTCATCCAAGCCGGTACCAAAAGACTTTAGGCTGTGTATTTATAAAGAACAAAGATTTATCGCTCCGTGGTTCCGGAGGCTGAAAAGACAAGATCAAGACACCAACACCCTTAACATTTCTCATAGATTTTTATTTCTTTCTGTATCCTCACATAAAGGAAAGAACAAGCCCTTTTTATAAAAGCTCTCTAAAGAAGAAGAGATAGAGATATATAGAGAGAAACAGAAAGCATCCCCTCTCAACCCTCGTAAAATGGGGCATGGTCATGCTGCAATCATTTTTCCTCCTTTTCTGCACCCCATCAGGACTTTTGACATACACGCCTGGCTGTCATGTTTTTCAAGCCACTGGGGCTGGGATTCAAACCATGGTTGACTATATGGGATCTGGCTCCCATAACTACTGTGCTGTGGGGACAACCCAAGCCTTACATTTTTTTTTTTTAATTTGCTAGAGGGCATATGTGCTCACTTGATAGAGATGTGTGGGTAGGGGAGTGAGAAATCATCTCCCATTGGGATGATTTAAGGATCTTGGTCATGCATGTGTGCACACCCTGCATTTTTCTCAAGCCACTGGGTCTGGAACTTGAACGGCACAGTTGGCTACATGGGATATACTAATAGCTGCCTTAGCCCCATACCATGGGCTGGCCCACTCCCACCTCTCAATACCATCATGTTCGGATTATGTTTCAATGTATGAATTTTAGGAGAACACAAACATTCAGACCATAGCACTTGGCAATCTCACTTCTATTATCTGGACAGTTCACTTCCTTCTCCTCTGTAGTAACTTTTTGTTTTATTTTTAACAGGTTTATTGACATATCAGTCACATACCACAACATTTATCTTTATAATGTGTATACTTTAGTATTCGTAAAATTGTTCAGCCTCCCTATCTAATTTCAGATTGGTTTTTACCACCCCAAAACCCTATTCTCACTCTCCATGTACCTTTTCCTCCTGCCCCTGATAACCACTCTGTGACCTTGTACGTCTGTTGTTTTTTCACTTAGCGTAATGTTTCCAAGGTTTATCCATGTTTCACTTTATATTAGTATTTCTAACTCCTAGATAATATTCTATTGTTAAGTATACTACACTTTCTTTATCCATCGATAAGTTATGGACATTTGGATTGTTTTCAGGTTTTTTTTTTTTTTTTTTTTTTTTTTTTGCTATTATGAATGATGCTTGTAAAAATTCTTAAACCTTTTTCAGATTTCTCCCAATTCCAGACCTTCCGACTTTCTCATCAACTGGAGATTTTTCTTATTGTTTTTACCAGAAAACCAAAGTGCTCAGATGGACTCCTTTTCAGCTTATAGCCACCAAACTGCCAATTTATTCACTATCTCCACTTTCTTCCCTTCTATGTCTTTTTTTTTTTTTTTTTTTTTTGCTATTATGAATGATGCTTGTAAAAATTCTTAAACCTTTTTCAGATTTCTCCCAATTCCAGACCTTCCGACTTTCTCATCAACTGGAGATTTTTCTTATTGTTTTTACCAGAAAACCAAAGTGCTCAGATGGACTCCTTTTCAGCTTATAGCCACCAAACTGCCAATTTATTCACTATCTCCACTTTCTTCCCGCCTGCCTTAGGAGGGCAAATAAAAGAAATTGCCTTCCTCTCAAAGGCCACGCCCTGTACTCATGCTTTGGATTCACTCCCATTGCACCTTCCCAAGGACCTCACCTATGAATGGCCCCTTTACATTTATGTGCTCTACTGTCAATGTAATTCTACCACCTTTTGTGCATTTTTCATAACCTTTATTTACAAAAACAGGAAAAGAGCCAGATTTGGTCAAAGGGTTTAATTCCCAAATTTCGCTTTAATCACAATGACCTGATTGGATGTACATTCTCTCTCACACACACACACTGCATTTTTAATGGAACTGAACCATTACTATAGTATCTATTTATTTATTTATTTTTAAGTTTCGCCATAGGGTGCATGCACTCTCCAGAGAAAAACAGGGAGATGCAGAGAGAGGGGAAATGAGAAGTCACTCCGAGGGGGGACAGCCACACTACAGTCTCTTCTCCATTCTCCTGTGATTTGGGCTGGCTGGGGTGGGGGTGGGGTAGTAGATAATGGTGTCAAGACTCTGTTGGGGTTGCACTCTCTGTCTCACTCATGGAAGAAGTTAATTAATTAATTACTTAAT